TGTTTGGGTTTCATTCAAGATTTTCTCATTCCTGTTACTTTGTGTAGTGAGCAAGCCCATGACGACAATGCCAACTTTACAACCTGATCTTTCCACACACACAAATTGTGATTCTCTCTCCTTTTTTCCATTCACTTATAAATGTTCATTTTCACTAGTTACTATAATAATTCCTGCTTTTTCATCTGAGCAGAGATATTTTTAAAACAGACTGTAAAATATCTGTTTAAAAAAATTTCCCCAGCAGAATAGTCCAGACATTAGTCTGCCATGACAGACACATCCGACATTCATCAGATTAAAAAAAAAAAGCTTCTGGCTGGATAAAAACTGAAATCTGCCCTTTGGCACAGCTCCATTCTCACCAGATAAATGGACCCATGGTGTCTGCAGAATGAATGTGCATTGATCTCAATGTGTTCTGTCTGAGGGCCATACATTGCAATGTATGTGTGTTTGTGTGCATGTGTCCTCAATTATGGTTTGTTACCACTGACACAGAGTTGATGTATGTGGCTATGTTTTGGGGTAAAGTGTTACTGAGGTGCCACTGGCCAGCAGCAGAATGAACAGAGCTGAAATGAGTTTCTGTGGACCTGAAAATGAATTCACTGCTGCATAAATGGGTCCAAAAACTTCAGATGAGAAAAGCAAAGCAAAGGCCGAGATAACAGTTTACTCCGTCATCTCTATCTCTCTCTGTTGCTGTCTCATACAAAGCCAGAGGGTTACAGACAGGTTCAGTTACATTCATCTGGATAATGACTAACAGTAAGCCATTAAAGATCATTAACAGTTAACGGAGGACTATCTACTTGCTGCAGAAACTTCCTCATTCTAATTATGGACATGTGAATATTAGAATAATGACAGCTTGGAGTTACACTGACTCCATTTCTTATTTTTTATGTTGTATTTTTGCAAGCTACAGTAACAGTCAAGTTTACCATGAATAAATATATCAGCAACAAGAAGCAGAGAGCCTATTCCTCCTACAACAATTCGTAAGTCGACTTGGACTTCTACAGTCAATGCCCGTGTATAGGAGAGCTACGGTTCTAAAATGAACTCAGCATACATGAGGAAAGTCAAGAAATTATTTTTTTCGTTTCACGAAAGCCCCGTTCAACATGCTGTTCATCAAAATGAAAATGACAAAGCTGTTTTACATTTCTTGGAGAAGCAGCCATGACAGTGGTCTGTGGACTCACTGTCAGTGTCGCTGGCTGAGTGAATCACCCCTTAAGCTGAGGTGTGCAGAGGCCAGGCTGGTTCCACGCTCTCTGTTTAAGTCTCCATACAGACACCAACACAGCTGTCCATTGGCAGCAGTGTGCCACGGGGAGCATCCATGACTGAACCACATTTGCCAAACACACGATCCGTCTTGTTGTTCAGTAACTTCATTTGTTCAAACACTGGCTCATAATAACAGGTAGGTGGCAGCAATATCCCCTCATCTCTTTTTGAGTTCTACATGGCAGATGCGTCTTTTCATTTTCTCTCGTGGAGGAATTAATCAGTCTTTGCTTGCTGTTGGCTCCTCTGTGAATACTTTATTGCACATGGGATGCTTGCCATTTTCTTCCATGCATCTGCTGTTTACTGTTCTACCTTGCTAGCCAAACGTTTCATCATCATTCAAAGCCAGCTAAACTCTCACTTGTGCTCTCTGGGTACGTTTTTTTTTAAAACCTCAAAGAGTTCTACGTGCTCAAAGCTAGTCACCACAGATCTGAAGCCTGAAAATGCGCCCCAACATCTAAAGGCTGGGGCTTCTGCTGGTTTGCTGTGGACTCACGAGGAGATACAGATAGGCTTCCCATTTTTGTCGTACTGGTACACTAACATCTTGATGCAGTGGGAGTTGGCTGGTGAGATCCAGGGACTGCTTGTGATGGAGAAATTGTGACTGGCGTAAAACGGAGGCGACTGCTTCCGGCAGCGGACCAGGGCTCGCAGCACGTTGGCGGCCATGCCCCGGAAACGCTTGCTGATGAAGCAGTAGAGGAAGAAGTTGACGCCCGTGTTGAGCAACGCCAGCATGTTGGCCATATCGGTGAGCACGTGGAGCAGACGGCCGGCGCTCTCTGAGGCTGGTGGAGGCGAGTAGAAGTGGTAGAGGATCATGAGGGTGCGTGGGGCCCACAGAACGGCAAAAATCGAAGTGATGGCCAGGAGAATGGCAGTGGTTTTGCCTGTGGAGTATCCCCGTAACCGGAAGCAGCTCCGTCGTCTGCGCAGCTTCCGCACAATGACGGCGTTGAGGGAGAAGAAGACTGTGCAGGGCAGGAGGTAGACGGTGGCGCAGTGCGCCCACACCAGGACATGCTGGGCAGCCGTTCTCCTGCTGCTCTCTGCTCCTCCTCCTCCGCCTTGATTCCCACTTTCAACCCCTGGCAGGCTGTGCCACAGCTCAGGCCACCAGTAATAAGGAGCTGCAGACAACAAGCACCCGATATACACGGCAAATATCACCTTGCGTGTTCGGGCCGGGTAAGAGACCGTGTGGTAGCGCAGAGGGTGACACACGGCAATGTAGCGGTCGATGGTGAGAGGGACAGTGATCCAGATGGAGGTGTGGATCGAGGAGAACTCCAGAACCTGCACTGCACTGTTAAATGACGGTGGCAGGGGTTTACCCAAAATGAAATCCTCTAAAATGAAGTCAACAAAAACAATGAGGAGCAGCACTAGGATATCAGCAGCTGCCAGAGCCAGGAGATAGTTATAGGACGACTTCTGACGACGCAGCACCAGCTGGGACAGGATAACCACTGTTAGGATGTTAGCTGGGAGAAGAAGTAATGGAGGAGGTGTTTGAGAATAGATGGACAGAGGAAATGGGAAAAAGGATTGGGCACAGTTCAGGGCAGAGGGGGAAACAGAGAAATTCAGTGTTAGTAGACTTATAATTACAACAGCCTACAAAAAACAAAATGGCAACAGAGATTAAGTGGAGAGCAATAAAAATGCTGTAGCATAGTTACAATCACAAGCTCAACAAAGAAAAACACCAAATTCAGGGTTACAAGGATTATTTAAATGGAAATTATTCATCAAACTCCTAAATTTCATTCGCAACTAAAAAAAAAGACAGATCATGCAAATAGAAAACTGTTTGAAAAACAAAATAAACAACAACATCCTATTTTCCTTGACAATTATCTTTCTCTCATTATTTCTCCCTTCTGTTTTCCCCTTCATTGACACCTGCTGTGTAATTCCAACGGCACCTGCCTCTCCCTTTGGCCATATTGTTATCTCTAATAGAGACCAAACACACTACAGAAACAGGAGGGCAATGCGCAGCCTCATAGACCTAGCAATCTGCCGAGTTCAGAAATGTCTGTCATCCTGCTGCTAGCAATTTAATCCTAGCATAAAGCAGAAAGAGGTTCCAGTTTATCAGTGTGCCTCTCTTTTACAGTCTAAATCCTATTATGCACATATTAAAGACAAATATCTCTGACGGGGACCTGATTTTTTAAAATAAAAATAAAAAATAAATTGAAAACTCTAAAAAGGTGGACTGAAATACTCAAATGTGACATGTATCCCTACTTTTCTGTACTCCTACCAGATCTGACCATCCGCAATGGTGGATAGTTTTGCAGTTGCAATACAAGGAAAGTAAGGGTAGAACCATTGTTCTCATTACTGATTCATTCCTTCAAATGCTTGGCGAGGTGACTTTCTGCTACTGTGAAAGGGCTTAGTTCAGGGTTTCCCAAGATGGGGACATTCTCTATTAGGTATTTATGCACAAAGTTTAAAACTGCAGTCTCAATGTTGGATTGGAATAAGAGTGACCCATGCTTGGGAGTCTGCTGATGATTGTTCCTGTGTCCTTTTTTTTGTACTTTCTTTCCCATTAATTCTATTGCATGGTGCTTCCTGTTGAGTGGCAAAATGTGTTGAGGAAAATCAGCCTGGCTTGTCGAATTTTTTTTTAACTGAAAGATTCAAAAGGCATGTTCGTCAACATCAATTCAATTTGATTCAGCTGTTTTATGCAAAGTGTAACTTTGAAAGACAAATGTTAGTGATTAAGTAACCACCACACCACACTTACTCCATTGGTGGCATAATTAAAATGCATGCAAACGAACTAAGTCTTTCTCAAATTGTAACAATCAATGGGAAGCAGTCCAGTTGGAGCTCCAGTAATTCCTGCACATGTATATTCAGTGTGATTCAAATTAGTCCTGCTGTTCACTCATAAAATATGCAAACAAAAGCGAGAGCACATATTTAAATAGTTAACAGAAAATAAACAAACTTTATGGCTGGAAATAGTTACAAAGCTTTTAAGGTGTTAAGTTACTAAAAAATGTGGCAAATGTTTGGCCTGTTTTGTTGGGCAAAAGTGCAACTGTAAATTGCCCAGTATTTATAAGGAAAAGGAGAAACATCTCCTTATTCTGTACTTAATCTGACATGCTTTTTTGGGACCTATTTAAGTTAAATTGAGTGCCTTTTTCAATCAAAAACGGTGTTTCTACTTAACGATGCATGTAAACAGATAAGAGTCCGAATCCATCTCTGAATGAAGCCGTTAGAAAAGCCAGCATGTAAGGGACCCATTAGACTGAATGCCATCACTTCAACTGTTTATTTATCTCATTTTGGAAAAGGACAAATTCCACGAGCCTGGGTACATAGCACAGTTAGCTCACTGGGTGATAATGCATGCATGTATAATACTGTTAAAGGACAGAATAATATTTTTTATACTGACCAAAAAAATAACCCCAAATAGAAGGATTATTAGAACCAGTTTAGCAGTCTAACATTACTTCGTAATACATTATAGATTTCAAAAAGCTTACAGAGACACTCCTGTGAGACTTAAATTCCCAGTGATGGTCAACTATCCAACTGTAAAGTTCGGTTATGCACATGCAATACTGTGTCTGTGCTTTACTGGCGCTAAGTAGAGCATTCAAATGCAATCCACAGGCACAGCACAAACCATGTCCTGTGCGTTACTTCAATGATTCTTCTGACACAGCAATGCCGCCTCAGAGAAATGACAGCTCTTAGCAGTCACCACTGTACATGCAGTGTGTGTGATCACGTCCCTCTCTGCTGTAATAGATCTGGGATTGGATTAGATAGGGCAGCTTGGAGTCTGGGACATCACACTCCACAGCCTCAGTTGCTATGAAGTGATTACAAATTGCAAAGCTGGATCCAGATAATGACTAACGATGTGCTAGCAAGACATGTAGGAAGTGTAGCAGACGTTAGACTCTGATCATGCACTCACATGCATATTATTAAGGATGCACCAATTCATTAACATTCAATCAATTCGTAATGAAAGAAATTAGATGTCATAGCTGTTTAGAAGATCTAAAGCAATTTGTGTAAATGTGGAGCTGTCAGATCACACTGTTTCACAAATAATCACAGTTGCAGCTTTTCACTTACAGTAAGAGTGTAACCTCTGCATAGTTTAAAATTGGAGTTTAACATGACTTTTTTTCAGTCATCTGTTTCTTATCATCTTCTGTTAGCAAGTTAAATCAATTTACTAAAGGTTAATGCTGAATCCCAAAATATGGAAAGTAACCATTAACCTTTTAAAGTTTATCATTTCCCCACTCCAATAGCTTCAGGTTGTTCAAGATAAATTTTCTCATGTTTTGTGCTGCTTATGTTTATGAAAAAAACAGCTCTCTGGGTCAAAGATAAACCTTGGAGTTCCATCAGTGTTTGTAATTGATTGAGGCTCACTGTAACCACTCCCACTATATTGTGCATTCTCTTTGGCCATCAATAATCAAACAATCCTCGGTTCGTGTTGTTTCCTGTAGAGCCGCAGCACACAGCTGCCAGCGTGTCTCTTATGGTTAATCCAACATGAGAGGTCTTATCAGTGTCTGTTTCTGTGGTGGGAAGTTTACTGCTAGTTACATTACAAATCCCACACAATGGACATTACCTGTAATCCACTTTCTCTTTTGTCCCTCTGCCCATCAACCCTCTCTCTGCTTTGTACCAACTGCTGAACACAGTGGAGTGACAAAATGAAAACAGAGAGATGCTGACTATCACAAGCTGGGTATTATTCTGCCTGAACTGAAGCTGGGCCCTCTGCAGAGGAACAAAAGGGATCAGTTGCTAGCCTGACGTTTCTATTTAGCTGTAGCCACCCTGTGATGGGTGGACCATTCGTTCCAATTGATTCCTGCCTTTATGTTGTGTCGGAAGCGGGATAGATCTACTTGGCATTCAGCAGGTATGAGGTGGCACACGCAGAGCAGTCTGTGTAGACTGGGAAAGCTAAGGTGGGTACACACAGAGCAGACACAAAGGGATGAGAGCAAAGTCTCGCCATGTTTGTCTATCAAATAGAAAAACTAAGACTCTCCTACTGAGAGGGGATTTTAATAATAAAAGACAGATCTACGTTTGAGTGTTGTGTGTGGAACATTTTCTTGCAGCGGTGAGAGTGTTTGATCGGGTGACCCTTTGTCTTTTTGTGTGCGAGTGCTTTTGCGTCTCCTCTTCCCCCTGCTGCTCCTCTAATATAAGGAGGAGACAGGGCCATTGACGTTGTTTAGCGGGAAAAGAGAAGGCACAGCGTGCTCCCTGAGGTGTGTAACGAGGCTGACTCATCCCACTATTAAAGGGACATATTCAGAGGGGCTGTCGACAAATGACACCGCAGTTTCACCCCTCAAAATCGACTTGCTTCCACGGGAATCATCAGACTTTCTCAAGGGTCTCATACATGACAAGCAGGCTATTGTATAAAAGAAATTATGTCAATTAAAAAGAGAGTGAGTGGGAAAACTGCAATTATTTTCAGAAATTCTGAAGCCGTTACAGTCTATCTGGACGCAAAGGCTAGAGGAGTGAAAGAGAGGGGGATAAAGAAATGGAGGATGGAGGGAAGCATGGTCTTTGGAAGGTCACAGAGAGTTAAAAAAAAAGCAAGCGATAAAGAGGGAATGGAGGGTGGGATGCGAAAGAAAAATTGAACAAGACCAAGAGGTGCAGAGGAGAGATAGAGAAAAGGGAAGGGGGTGAATATCAAAGCCTGCTTCAAAGGTCACAGGCACTTTGTTCCTGATGACATCCGTTTTCCTTTTGTCTTCTCAAAGTGTCAGACAGGACACTAAGCAGGGCAATCCCTTAATTCCCCAGAGCAAAAAGACACACACACACACCAAAAAAAAATCACAGTGTTGAGTCACATCCTCATCTTCACTAAAATGTGATTCACAAATATTCTCTTTCAGATATCTTAATATCAGATATCTCATCTGAATATGAGGACTGAGTGTTAAGAGTAAATTGTAAATAAAAAAAAGAGAACAAAATTATAAAAAAAATAGCAACAAAGAGAATGAGTAAAACAGATATACAGATTTTTTTTTTTAGCTTTAAAGGCATATTAAAAGAGAAAAATGCAGAGCAGCTTTGTTGATATTGAAGTGACTGCAGTGCTTTGCTGCCAGCTGCCCTCAACAGCAATTCATTTCACAGACGGCCACGATGAGTGAATGTTTAGACACGTCTGTACTTGTGCGCTGCATGAACACCCCAGCTTACTCAGTTCAGTGGCTTCTAAAACAGTGCTAACAATTATGATAATATATTACGATAATTCTCTGCAGCGATATAGCCTCTAATTGGGATTATTCAGTTGTGACAAGAATGTAAAGCAGACAGATCCAAAATGAGATGTGGACAGAAAGCAGACATGGGAATTAAAAAATAGAGCTGAGAAGAGAGGAAGTGTCATGGAAAATGACTCATTTAAACAATCCCCAAAGCACAGTTCTACTGTAAACTGAAAATCAGTACTATTGTGTAAAGCATAAAGGAATGAAGTTTTTGCTTTCATGGCACATCTCTGATTTACTGCCTCAAACAAATACCTTCCTACTTTAACTGTCACCCATGAACTCTTCTCCTACCTTTCGTTTTCTAAGCTGAAGGTTGGGGGCAAATCGGTGCCCACAATCTTAACCTTCTTCCATGCAATGTATTCATTTTACTGTATTCATGCCCTTCTTTTTGTCCTGTCAACTCAACCTAATTTCAAAGTCAACCTTTAGAGTGATAGTATCTTTTAACAAGCCACCACCCGACACATGTGCCCCGTCGCCGGCGCAGATTGACAGATCGATCGCTCAAACTGAAAATCGATGGAGCCTATCTCTTCATTAAGTAACGGCTGACACTTGGCCTGCACTGCACCGTGGGAGGAGAGGTGGCTGGTGCTGAGTATTCCTGAGTGGATGTGGAGAAAGATGTTATTTAATATGTTTGAATGCCTTGACTGTGACATACCTCCGTGAAAAGCAAATGCCAAAAGAAAAAAACGGGACAATTTTTCAATGGTCAACAAGAATATTTTGGTTCTCAGAGTCACTGAATTGAAGTGTGTGAAGTTACTCAACTGCATACCACTGGACTCATTTAGAGATAACAGCTCTGAAGTGAATTGATGAAAGCTTTCATAGGCCAAACTGAAAAAAAGATCATTTTACCCCCAAATGGATGAGAGATGGGTTTGGTTCAACCCTGTATATATAGTTTATTTTCATTTTCTCATTTCAAGAACCAAAAAACCAAGGAGAAGAAGAAAAACTTTAAGTTTCTTTAAAGTAAAATCTTTGTGGCATTCATTACTTTACAAAGAGCGGATTCAAACTGAATAATGAATTAGTTTTTGTCATTAGGGTTTGAGAAAATGATATAAATTAAAACAATCTCAAAGACCTCGAGAGGCTCATTTTGCAAACTATTCATTCATTTACTTTATTAATTAAGCTATGGCTCAGCGCTGTGCTAATTTTGCCGTGTCCTTTGTGACAGCCAAATGACTTATTAGATAGATTTTACACTGTATCAGTTGTTGAATACATGAGAATTTGTCATTATCTGTTCCGTGGGTTTTGACTTTGCTGCAGATTTTACTGTCATTATAATAATTCTTACATGCGATTGGAGGTGAAGTGATATGCAAACGAAGTGTTGAAGTGTGTGCGCAGGTAACACCCGACTTAACAGCTCAATAGAGACGCCAGTGTGAAGAAACGTTTGATTCCCACATGCTGGCTGAGTTTGCCCAGACATCCAGCAAACCTTCACTCGAGTATCCACTTGTGTTTCATCAGCTGATGGATTCTCTGGGCCTTTTTCAGCAAAAGCTTTGAGATGTGCAGCACTTTACAAAGAGCAGACTTTACCCCTATGACCCCGTCATGTCAGAGATGGACAGCCCCTTTTTGGTGCTTTTGCCGGGTTTGTTCTGTTTCAAGCAGCGTGCCAAATAGAGACAGAAACAGTGAGCGCGAGTGAGCCATTAATTAAAAATGTGACAATTTGTTTCAGCGCAGTTGTCTGAAGCAGCCCCACTCGGGGCTAGGAGGTGCTGCTTAGAAGGCTCTGCTGTTATTAATCTTTCCCTCCCTATTAGTGCTTTGATCTCCCTCTGTTAATGCCACTGTTCTTCTTCTGAATGTCCTTGTCTTCCCCCTTTCCAGTCCAATCATCTCATTTTTTTAGCGCTGTCCAGTTCATCCCTTTTCCCCACTTGATGCTCTAAATGCTTTCACTCATCACCTTCTCACATCTTATTTCCCCTCTAAAATCTGTGCTCTGGATGTGACCGCTCTGTGCGTGCCCGTAGCTCAAAGAGTTACTCCCTGATGCTGTTAACTGATGAATCCCTTGATGATTATCAAAGTCACAGTCTTCTATCTAATAACATTGCTTTGTATATGTGAGTCTATGAGTCTTGCTGGTAACTACTCAGCTCATGCTGCGCCAAAGAAACATTCATGATTCAGCTTGAGTGGAATGAGCAGTGTTGTTACGATTAAACGAGTTGGCACTGCATAGCATAAGCACCCTTAGCTGACCCTGTCGTGAGTTTAGGCGACAACTATAAAATCGCCACATACTCCCAGGATGCGGTTTCTTAGAGACTGAGGAAACAGCATCAGATTGATTTGTAAAGACAACTCAGCAGCAGAATAAAAGAAACAAGAGGGGGCATATTGCATACTCTGAATTTGCTCTGTCGTCCAGGAGAAATAATGAGGCAAGATTTGATTAGAAAGTAAGATTTTTTTTTTCCACTTTGACAAGACAGCAAATCTCTTGAACAACTGCAGTCTTGGCACACGAAACCTTTTTGCTTTGCATTGCAGATTTGTTTTGAGCCAGAATAGCTTATGCAGTTGATAGTATCTCACTTCCAGTCTTCAGGAATGGGATCAGATCTTAGATTTGAGTAGGCTGAGGATTAGGACAAATGGGCCTTTAAAAATCCCTGCGTTACTACACCAGAGACATAATTTGTTATTGTAATATAATATCTTTCAGTCACAGAATGTTTCAATTTAAGCGCGATTATCTTTTTAAGCTGTTTGATCAGAAAATGGACTGGATAGGTGACTGATTGTCCAGTGGGATTTCAGCATCTGGATCCCAATCTGTGATTAGGCATCGGCTCATTTCCTCTTTCGTTTGACCTCCAGTTTTTCTGTCTGTCCCTCTGTTTGACAGACATGCTCAGATTTACTCAGTTTGCTATGTGAGACTGGGTCAGCGTTCATAGATCACGCAGCAGGACAAAGGCAGTAAATAAATCCAATAGTGACTGTGAATGGACTAATCATTCAATGGTAAAGACAAAAGAAAGGAGTGATATTGAATCAGGTCATCAAAAGAAACCACGTAACAGACACTTGTCCTCGAGGTCAAGCCACAATCATAACTCACACCATTTCCAAGACATCTGTGCACATGCTGCTGCTTACGATGAGACCAAAGGTTTCAGAAGTCTTATGACAAATTTTAAATTATGCTCTACATTTACAGTTGCTATTTTAATGCTGTACTGACATTTTTACAAGCAAGTTCAGAGGTGCAAATAAACATGAAGACTGTTTGCATGCACAGGTGACGGTCACAATGTCAAAATGACAAATTCAAAATATGTGCGTCTGACGCTCACAAATAGCAGAGCACAACACGTTGACTCAGTGCTGAACACAAGTACAGAGCAAATCAAAAATGCAATTAGTGCAGCGTCTAATGCAACATTTGAGCAAGCTAGCACAGAATGAGCCATGCATCTGCACAAAAGACACACACGTGTGCAAGTGTCCTACCAGGAAGGCCAAGACAGAGCAGTATGCTGTAGTAGATGACGGGCAGAGGTCCGAGAGGGCATCCCTGGGCGACCTCAGAGGGATTCTGCCCTGTGCTCCAGGTGCTCACATTTGGAGAAAAAACCGGGATGTGGCTGTGCTCCATGGCTTCTTCCTTGTCCTCTTCCTCAGCTGAGCTCAGTGTCAAGAAGTCTGGCCACGCAATCAAAGCGCCTGGCGGCTGGTTCGTGAGCGAGGGTGCTCTGTCCTTGGGTGCCAATCACCAGGAATGTGTGTACGCACACATTTACACAAAACAGCAAGGTTGAGAGTGTGAGGAGGAGGGATAAACTATGAGGATGGAGGAGGGAGAGACAACACAGGGGGAGAAGTGAGAAAATAATGTGTGTTAGCAGGTGATGGAGGAAGGCGGCGAGAGGAGCTGAGAGGGAGGCGTGAGGAGGTGAGTGTGAAGGTAGAAGTGGTGAGGGGAGGATGCTGCATGAGTGTGAGAGCAGGAGGGAATGGGAGAGAGTCGAGAACGCAGCGGGTGGAAAGAGGAGGAGAGAGGGAGTGTAACAAGGAGGGAAAGAGGAGGGGATAAGGAGAGAAAGCACTCTGTGGAGAGAAGAAAGAGAGGGCAAAAAAGAGGCTGAGAGTGGAGGCTGCAGGTGGGAGGTGGAGGGATGTTTGGAGAGAATAAGAGCTGTTTGAAGACAGAGACACAAAGAGATAATAAAACTAATGAGGAGACAGATGTGATGGATGAGAGAAAAGAAGGTTCAGTCGACGGTGGAAAAGGACAGAGTGCATTTGGTATTTGTCATTGTATCTCATTATCACCGTGTATCTTTCTATTGGTTTGATTGCATATCTGTTTATTTGACAGTTGCTTTCTTCACATGGTATTTTATTGTGCTGGTCAGTCTAAACATGTATGTATGTACATGCTGTACAGTACATGTGACTGGGCATGTGCTGTGAGAGGTGGGGGTGGGATGGTTAACCAGATTCTCCTGTGAAGCGTGAACAATCTAAATGTTAAAACATTTCTGGTTAAAGTGTGCAAAACGTTCAAATGTCTTCATTCCCCAAATATTGAGGGTACTCACCCCAGTCTATTTTCTGTTCCTATATCCACTTAGAATATACACTTTCAGTACTGTTGAGAAGTGTTTGGACATTTTGATCTCTAGATTTGCAGTTATTTATCGATACAAAAGATAGAGACTACTTTTTTAATTTACCACATTTCAAGTATTGTCTCAAAACTGTTTAGATATAAACAGGTACATTTGCGTAGTGAAAAAGGGTACAATAGCGTACTCTGAACCTTGCCAAACTGTAACCAATATATTGATATTGGGTATATTCTATTATCTAAATTAGGAGCAATTATGGTGGGCAGTAATGGTGAAAAACAGGGATGCTCCCCTCTGGCTGCAGTAATGGGTCTGGACCTCCCACAATAATGACATCTGGCTTTTGAATGGAAAGATTTTAAGTCAACAATTATCAGTTATTTAACCCAAATAAGATGAGAATACCAATGGCAGGTATCTATTGGTTCTCACCCCGACAGGTATTGATGGGAACAGCACTTGGATGGATGTGCTAGTTTTCAAGGAGAGTGCTGCCCTCAGGACTGCCAGAGAAGGCTTGGATCACTTTGTCTTTCCATAAATCTGTTTACTGCCCTGCTCATGGGGCCATGGTCAGCTGCCTGTTAAGATGTGGGCAAAAATAATGTTGTTGAATTTAAGAGCTTTTCCCTTTAAACGTAGTGGTGTTTATCTGATGCAGCCCAAATCGTTACTGACATTTGCATGTGAGTAGTTTGAAAAAGGTGAAAACACAGTAGTTTGTGCTGGTTTAGAAGTGGCCAATGAGTTTGTTGCTTCATGCAAGGAATGAGGACTCAAGAGGTTGGCACAAAATTCTGTTGATGCGACAATAAAATGTTAGTCAAACCAAAACTAGACTTGCATGTTTATGCATTATGGATAATCATGCATAATTCTGATCAAAATCATACAATATACATACAATATATACACACATTTAAACCTACTTTTACTGAATTTAGATATGGGGAAAAACTATTTGTCATGTTGAGATGATGACAATAATGAATGTGTCTTAACTGATTTATAGCAACATTTGAAACTCATACCTCTCTTCCTCTCATTACTAATTCCATGGGATTTATTATAGGGAATGCATAGCACTTATTACTTATTATATAAGCACTTACAGCACAGGCTTGTTTAGGCTTGCAGGAGTAACATGTGCAGACATTAAGCGCCACAGCAGCCCTGGGAGGGGCACAGGCAATGATTATGTCAGTTTCAGAGAGCTGTCAGCCATGTCTCTGCCTGTGCCTCCTCCTAAAAACCTAACAGTTCTGTAGAATCATATACGTCTTCTCTCTGCTATCTGAGTGAGATCCATCTTGTAAAAATCAATCTTTTGAAATATTATTTAAAAGGTGAGTATGCGGCAATGATATGGAAGCGAGGGCAGAGAAGAGCAAAAAGTTTTAGAGGAGGAAAGAGAAGAAGAAAGTGGTTTTGTGGAGCAAAATGAGTCACTGTTATTGTGGGAAGCTGTGGATCACAAAAAAGGATACGTTTTATCTTCATACAGCTTGGAGATCAATTTATGACATCATGAGTCTTCTATCCAGATGCTAGGTGCTATATGAGATGAGGAATTGATTACAGAAATGGTCCATTGATGGCTGGCCTGTTTCTGCCACTTGACTCAGATGTGTGAAGAAGGGGAGAGTAGGAGAAAAGTGGAAAGGAGCAATCACGTGGTCTTAAATCTTTCTCTCTCACAGGTGAACAAATGAGCTGCAGGGGACAAGGGGAGGAGAGCTCTGTAAGTATGTGTTAAATAAAATATGGCCAGATGACATGAATTGATCACAGAGAAAACTGGAACAAAAGAAAGTGATTCTTCACCACGTAGCAGGTGAAACTGCAAAAGAGTGCCAGGCTGCTTTTCAGCAACATTCATATCTGAAAGCTTTATTTTATTGGTTATCTTAAGATAAATTCTGTGCATGTTGCAGAACATGTTTGTGTTTCAAATCGGGATGTTATGATAGCTTAATGTGTTAGACAAAGAAAAATATGTAATAATACTGATTCATTAGTTTGACAGTAATGCTGCATTATTATGCCATATCAGAAATCTTTTTTATAGAAATCAGTCTGTGCCAGTGAAGGAGGGAAAAGGCCGGTGCTTGCTGTTGAGCTTTGTACAGGCAGTTCCAGTTTGCTGTCTCCCACAACCTCTGAGTCAGAAAGTGCCCTCACAAGCCATATGGAGAGAAGCTGGAACTGGGTATTAGACTGCCAGACACTTAAGAAAAGAATACTAATAAGAAAAGCAACT